AAACCTAATGGCACCATCATGCTGAAATTGATCATGTTTTGCCATCAAACCTGGATAGTTTTAGAGGATTCTGACATCTGAATTAAATTAGGGTCTATTTAATCTGTTTTTTTTTTTACTTTGGCCAGTGTCAAACAAATGTCTTTTGCATTTTTGTATTAACTTGTTAAACTTTAACAATAACTTCTTAAATGACAACTGAAATTTAGCAATGCTATTTTATAACATCTGCATACTGTGACATGAAATCAGAATACAACTGAAAGAAAAACGATGAGCAGGAAAAAAAATTGACATTTAAAGTCTCACATTTTTCTTGTCTCACTTATTGACATAACAGTAAACAATTAAGTGATTGAAAACTTGCAAAATTACTGCAATTTTAAAACTTAAGAGTATTTGTAATTTTTTGTTAGAAAAGGAAAGAAAGACACCATGAAAACATTTGCCAATAAGTGTAAATGTGTGAAAAAAAATACACCAATTAGGAATTTTAAGAATCTTTTGTAAGAAAGTAGGAGTCATTTATTCGAAAATATTGTTTATTTATTTTGCATTTTGTTTTATTAGTTTCAAACTTCTTTGACATTTGTTCCTGGTTAGATTCAGCGCTACAAAACAAAACAAAAACAGGTTAGCTTTGCACACAAACTAACTTGTGGTAAATCCCACAACTCCTTGTTTGGCACACCACTTGTTGTGAGAAAACATTTTCATGATAAGCTCTCATTTACTTTATATTTTTTCCCATAGTTGCTAAAATTAATTTTTGTTTACTTGCCATGTTGATGGAAGGTTTCGTAGTTGCTGTTTTACTTTTTATGTTCAGTTTGGTTTACTCCTCAAACACTGAAGCAATTTTGTTGTGTCCTAACGGATAAAACATAACAAGCTCGAGCAGAATTGGAGCAAATTTAAACACTGTAATTTATTAGCTGCAGATTTATTTTAATTGAATTCAGCACTCCTTTATATCATTTGTTGCTAGGAGTTCTTTCAGCATGGGCGTGTGGATGCATTAGCTGTAAATACCATTCTCCCTCTACACTTTCCTCCTGTTTTGCCTTTTGCTGACCAGGAAAATTAAGAAGCAAAACGTAGGTTTTAAGAGCATTCCTTTCATGTCTTGATGTAAGCTTTGGCATCACTTCAAACATCAAGATCGGTTTCATAGAAATCCCATTCCATCTAAAGTAAAAGCACCGGCAGTAAATCTGCCCAAGCCTCCCCCATAACACGTCCATAAATGATTCATTCGGTTCAGTTTAGCTGATGCAAAACAGAATGTTAGTGAGTTGTGGACAAAGCTCGTGCTGCATAAAGGAGGACCGAACGAGCCGCTTAGTAGTTTCATCAATCTCTAACAGGGGAAGTGGGGAGAAGGGACTGGGAAGAGGACAAAACACACCAATAATAACTTTTGTGTCACTATCCAGAGGTCATGTTTTTTAATCCCTCAGCCTAAAGAATTGTGTTATTCTAAAAAAAATAATAATAAAATAAAATAACCCCCGCAGTGGTGAAGCAGTTGAGATTCATCACGGTTGGAGATAAGAGCGGGGCTGATCTCCTCCCACAGCACGGCCTTGCCTGGGACTACACGGGGAGATAAGATGGAACTTTTGTTTGAAACCTGATGGGAAGCCTCTTAATGAAAGTGCGGCGCCAAAAATAATCTTTTTTCTTCATGTTAGTCAATCAAGAATTGGTGTCGTTGGGAGGGAGAAAGAAAGAAAGAAAGAAAGAAAGAAAGAAAGAAAGAAAGAAAGGAACAAAAAAGAGAAGGAGAAAGAAAGTAATTTTGCATAATCAGCGAGCACCATCTGGAACAATTAACCAAATTCCACAGAACTCAGAGGATCAGTCATATTGGCTTATTAAAGATCCAGAATTATACAAGTAATAAATCCTTGGAAAAACGAAGCGTACCCCTGCCTGTCATGACTATTTTAACTTCAAATACAGTGGAATACTTGATAAGGCTGAAAAGAGGAGATTAATATATGCAAATTATGTCGAGCATTTAAAAGCCCCCCAACAACTGTCTCTCCCCTTTTTTTCTGTCTCTTATTACAGGGCTTTATGTTTTATTCATACACCAACTCACCTGTCATTTCATAAGCTATAATATTATGAGGGTATTATTAAACAGTATAAAGTGGGGCTTTAATTGGAAAGCTCCATTGCATTTTCCAATTATTTGTAGCAAATTAAAAGCAGATGCACATAGTTTAATAAGAATTCTAATATTGTTTCCGGAAAATCAAAAATCACTGTCATCCTGCCAAGATATTTTGCAAACCCAAGTTAATTTTGAGGCTCCTATTTTTCCTCCTGCTTCTCCTCTGAAGGATGAACTGTCTAGTGTCTGTTAATTGAACTTCCTCTAATGGATACGGAAATAATTGCTCTCCATATTATGTTAGATCAGGGCCAATGTCAGTATTTATTTTTGATTAATGCTATAGATATGCAAATGTATTACTTTTTATTAGATTTGCCTTTTTATCAGGTGGATGTCTGCTGAATATTATATGCTGCTCTGCTGCTAACAAAAGGCGACTGCGACGCAACATTTGCAACTTTTTTTAAGTTTTAGACTTTTTAACTGACACCTTTTTTATCAATGCTTTTCAGAGAGTTTTATTTATTGCACATACAATAACCTTAAAAATATCAAGATGGGCTGTCAATGCAGGAGTATTAGACCTAATTGGCAAAGGGACTTGGCATGGATCAAAGCGCTGCTGTTGAAGAAAAAAAAAAGAAAAATAAATAAAAAATAAAAAAAAAACCAACAAGGTTGAGCTGCTTTGAAAACTTGATAACTTTTTAAATGAGCCTAAACTGTCAAGTGATGGAGGGCTTCAAAATAAATGTGAATTAGTTTTTAATATTCTGGTAATAAATGTCAAAGCTTCTGCACATCACATACGTACATGATGTGACTGCAGATGACAGATTTCCCAGACATGTTACCTCTCCTCTCCTCCCCTCAACTCATCATCTTCTTCTTCTCTTCTTCTTCTTTTTTAATTGTATTGGGTTTTTGTTTTGTTGGGGAAGTGACGGAGGGTTTAATCAAGAAAGCAGGCAATTCATCAAACCTAAAGAAGGCGCCGTACAGCCCTGACAGAGCGCACATGGTTTTAGACCAACTCAAACCTGGCCAGCTGTCAGCCCACACACACACACACACACACAC